TTTTATTTCATGAAACAAAGTAGGAGACATTCTTTGTGCGCGCGCAACATTACACAGGATCATAATCAGGGGGAGTAAATGAAGTAAATCAAAGAGACCGGTGCACTTCAGCGCGAGAGCCGTGCTCCAAGGCTTGACGTGACGGTTCTCTGGTGCTGGGGAAGCGCCTCATCAGTACAGCACACTGGGGTGAACCCGACTGCCACCTACATGCGGAACCACGGTACTGTGCTCTTCTGGACTGACCAATCGCAGAACGGCATTTCATTCCACACTTTTTTACACACCTAATCAGTAATTATTCAGTAGGAGTACACATATGTTCATTTCCCAACTAAATTGTCTTTCTAAATTAAAATGAATATTGTAGTAGATATGGAGATAATATAACAGCATCTCATTTTTGCGCAGGTACAGTATTTGACAACTGCTAGGCTTCTGACTTCCCATGACTCATGCTCGATTGTGCTGGAGTTATTAAACATAGGTGCCCTCAGCAGACTTATTATCATATATATTGCGTTATACACATTACACATCAGCATTCCACTGTTAATGCTGTTAATATAGCGGAGCCTGCTTCACTCTGTGCGAGAACTGGAGCTCCAGTCTGCAGCAAACCAAAAAATAAAAAGAGTGAGAGTATTTTTCTGGAATTTCACATCAAATTGACAAGAAGCCACATATTTTCTGGCATGAGAGAAATTTGAGTTTTTTTCTGCTCTTTCACTTCAATAAGAGTTTTCAGAATAAATTATACTTAAAAACCTTGTGTTGGTCTGTGTTCTGAATATTTTATTCAGCTCAGCTCGGGCTCAAGAGCGACAAAGCCTCGTCTGTTAATAAAGCAGTTAATGCCATAAAGAAGTCAGCACGCCGTACACCTCCGGCCCTCTGTTCCTGCTTGAAATAAACACGCATGACTTAATTCTTCTATTTTGGAGACTCTGTTGCATATGTCCGAAAAATTAATAAAAAGTATGCTGTACACAAAATAAAATAAATTTGTATACAAAAGTAAAAAGATATATAAACTGATGGCAATACTCAGCCTGGTTTCTCTCTGAAGCGGGAGACTGCAATGTAAACGTCCTCACATCTGGTGTGATCATTACTGCATGAAGAATTCAGTTTCTATTAGACTTCAGTCGGTAGTCTTTCTATAGTTGTTTTTTTAAGGAAACTTTCATATCAAAAAGCACCCAAAAAACAATTTTAATTTTATAAAGGCCAATAAACGCACATTTTCAGTTAACACACTCAAAGCATTTATGCAAGCCTTTTAGCACAGTAAAGATGCTGTGTCATGTGTAGAAGGAAACAACGGACAGGTAAAATGGAAAACAGCCCAGATGCTGAAAGGTTCAATTAAAAAGTTAGATGTCATTGTACGGCAATACCATCAGACATCCCTCAGCTGCTCTGGAGAAATTCACAGCTCTCCTGCCACAGTCACAGAAATGCCACAGTCTCCTTTACATAATTCGTACCACAAGTGGAGCAAAGTGAAAAGGGATTGTTATACTGTTTAGTGTAGAATAAAATATTTATTCTGTGCATCTTGGAATGATATTATGTAACTCAATATAAAATATTTATTATAGCCCTGAACACCCTTGAAAAGGCACAGATGCTGGAGTTAGACAATATTTACTGCGAGCCCTCTTTATGAGACACATATAAAAACACCACAGCTCAGCGTTGTGAACTGCCTTTCTTCATCTCAGATGATTGTTTGATGCCACAATGTATTTCAGCACATGCAGTAAGAGAAAAGACACATGTGCAGAGAGCTTGTAAAGTTTGCTGGCATATTCAAACATCTGTATTGTGTAAAGTACTGTACAGTAAAGCAACGGGTGAAAAGAGACAGGGACCAACAGAGAACACATTCCCATAGACAAAGACAAGGCACAAAAGACACTGTCCCAACGGCAGACCTGCTAGGGAACTCACTGTGCTGTCTTTGGTGGACTCTGCTTCAGTAAAAAAAACATTGTCCTGTTCAGCTGTTTTATGAGAAAAACTCAAATTGGGGGTATCCGAAGAAAGCCTGGGCTGGGTTTAACATACTGTACTGCCAAGAAACTTTACTTTACTTCCCATATTTAACTGTTGACAATAGTTGGCTTCATTACAGTAGTTTGGCTTAGTGCCCTTGGTGTCATATTACCCCTAACTGGTGTAGATGTTTTCCTCAAGTCAATGAAAAATAAAGCTGTTCTTCCTTAGATGCTTATGGGAGTCACATGGATACATATTTGCGACACTACAGTATGGATTTTCTGTGTTATTTCAGACCCAAAAATAATACTGCCATAGTTAAAAAAGAGAATTGTTCTTAGCCCTCCGTTAAGAGACACTGTAACAAGTATGCCAGCTACAATACTTTGCAGTTATAGGATTGTATTAAAGGTCTAAAGCCTAATTTAGTAAATTCCCAAAGCTCCTTTTTCATGTTTTAGAGCCTGCAGATGCAACATGCCAGTGAAAAAAACAGGCTTTAGAAAAACGGTCGACAGAGACATAAAGTGTTTTAAAAAAAGAAATTGGCCATCTCCCAAGATATCATACTTAATGCAAAAAGTCACTCAAAGGCTCCGCTCTTATGCTTTGTAGAAAACAAAGATTCAGATTTAAGCAACTCTCCTTGAGCTATATCCACAAATACACATCCTACTGTTATAGAAAAGTAAGTCTTTGTTGTTGGTTAAAGTGGTCCAGCGTATCAGACAAAATACAAATCAAAGTGGTTCTCTGGCCCGGTGCTAAATTGGCCTGTGCTTTTAAGTGTTCCTGCACTGCATCAGAGATACTGCTTGAGAAACATAATGCACTTAGGGCAAAAGAAAGCAAGCACACAGTAATTCAGGGAATCACTGAGAGATCATCTGTCTGTATTCAAGTTCAGGCTGATTGTCAAGTCAAGTCTGCTTTGTAGATTCTACGCTAAAAAATGCATTAGGTCTAGAGTGCCTAACTCTCTTCCTCCTAGGATGAAAGATCAAACAACATTTTGTTTGGCAAAACCTTCAGTTGCTTTCTTTCCAATTATCCATTTGATCCAATTTCCTGTATTTAAGTAATATGCCTGCCAAATATCTCTATTATTGTCCCTTTTCTTGAGTGATGCATGTTGTAATTAACAATGAAACAGGTGCATTTTATCCCTCATAAATCAGAGATGCTGTGGCTGTAACTTTAAAGGTCGTGATGGGAGAGCTGAGCACTCTGTTCTGCCTGCCTGGTCTGAGATTTATCATACTGTACAACACAATTTTACATTTGCTTAAATATTTTAACCTCTTTTGTGTCATACGTGTACTTGCTCAACAGTACTTACTGGAATCATTCAAGAGGCCCACAGCCAGCAACAGGGAGTATTCTTCCTCTAACTCTGCTGGTCAGCATCTGCCACATTATTTCTCTCTGCCTTGAAAACTGCACTCCATGCCCTGTGCTGTTATGCCATGCTGTTTTGCAGCTTAACAAGAAAATGAATAAAAACTCAGCTTTGTTTGTATATACAGTATACTGTACAATGAACTAAAACCTTCGGTACGATCCCATGCATACCCGCTAAATGGACGTCTGAATGAATAAAAGGGGGGAACAGTTTTGTTAGTGATGGTTTTACTGTTTTGGGATACTCTCCCACAGTGTGTATAGGCTGTACAGAAACAGGGCCGCTCATGACAGGGGTCATGCCTCTAGCTATTGGACAGCTGGCTAATGGACATTGTTAAAGACATATTAAGCAGTCAGACTGGCCTTGTCTTGTACAGTGTGACTCTACACGATTAAAATTTTACAGACCCTCTGAGGGCAGATAAATCTGGTAAATACCACACGCCTGATTTAACTATCAATAATGCATGGAGTAACAGCATTGTAAATATACAGATCTATCTGTACACTGATACATGTGCTGTACACAGGGGCGATACTAACATTTACAGTACATGCAACACATATTGTTAGCCCCTGTACAGAACATGTCACATGCTCATTCATGACTACACAGGCAGCCACTCACACTCTGACTGATTTTCTGCTCCCTAGTAATTATCAACAAAATGGTAAACACGTACAAGAAATCTGAGCCCTCCTAAGAGAACATCTTTCTTTTCTTTCTTTACCCAGCAGCAGTTTGTACATTTAATCTCGAAACTACTTGTGTGAACATATTATCTACCATATGTAAATGCAAGAGGATTTGATTTTAACATAAGATTAGAAATCACTGAAATTAGTCATGTAAATTGTGGCATTATTTCATATCTGCCTGTATTTAATATTTGTGATTTGTGATTGTTTTTTCTGCTCTTCTTCAGTATCCCTATACTGTAGCTCCATGATAATCGAAGGTATAAAATTATATAAGACTTAGCTCCATGCGCACCTTACTAATCTTGCCAGCTGGCTCCGACAACAGGCTGGCTAAGATGAGTGTAAGATTATACGATTCGAAGAAAACAAATACCCACATATATAATACTGGACATACAGTATATAAAGAACAATTTCTGCTTGAACTTTGTCACTGATGTGCTCTTTTGTTCTTTACTGTATTTTGCCACACAAATGTAAGCACACACACGCAAAAAAGGCTGGGTTTTTCCTTTGTAAAGCTTCTTTTTCAAAACTTTTCCTGCACTACTCAAGGTCCTGGAATTTATTTTTCATTTAGGCTCTTTGGTAAAAGGCAAAAGAAACCAGAAAGGAAATGCACTGAAAATGGATCAAAGCAGTGAACTTGCATCTAACAAAAACAGATAGCAGGATCTAATTTTAAAGATTCATGACCCAGATCACTTGAGAGTTGCATTATGTCCTGTTCACTGCACAATGCAAATGGGTCTTTAATGCCCTAAGGCTACATAAAGTCTTATTCTATTTTCTGTCTCGGCTTGTATAGAACTTTTCATCCCAAAGGATCCCAAGAAACTTTACATATAGGAGGGCTCTCACTGTATCCATCATTGAAGGCCAACACCCACCTGGAAAACATAGCATCCCCACAGCACAGCAGACCAGGTGGAGCAGCTGAATTCCAGGCGAACGTGGAGGAGTACAGAGTGCAGTTGTCCTCTCACCCCGACTGTCATGGGTTTTCTAATGACCACATAGTCAGGGGCTCCCAGTTTAAGGCACCTTCAAACAAAAAAGAGTCAGAAAGGTACGGTTAAGTCCTACATGTTAGGAAAGGCTAAAAGAAGTAGGGAAACTCAAATACAGGTCTTATTTGGATCACAGTCTAAGCCCTATTTAACACTGCCCAGACTTAAACTGACAATACTTTAACAGCAAAGCTGAGACAGATTTGTGTGAACTTGAGGCACCCAGGGCCTCCTCAGGCAGCCAGTCACCTGGCACTCTCACTTCTCCGTCGTGACAAATAACCTGCAATATCAAATTCAGTTCACAAATAAAATGATAAAAACTGACTGTAATAACTTAAAAATAGATAAAAGGCAACAGGAAGGGTGATACTGAGATATATATATATATTGTAGGTGGGTAGCTGCGTAAAGGAACAAGGAAAACTTTATTCCTGCTGAAAAGAGAAGATAGGAAACAACGTTTTGGCTGTGGAGTCTTCTTCAGGGAAAGCAACAGCCAAGAGAGAGGAGGGGCGAAGCAGGGGAGAGTCAAGTGGTGCAAGGTCAAGAGAGAGGTGGGGGAGGTGTGAAACGAAACCAACAAATGAATAGAAAGAATCAGAAGGAAACAAGTCTGTCGTTGAGAGAAGGGGGAGGTGTGAGCCAAGTTTCAGAATAATTTTAGTTTCTGATGTCTTTCTGCTGTGGGAGTTGAGAAACCCAACTTTGAGAACGCAGACGGAGAGATCAGTGTGATCATGGAAATCTGAGGTGAGATGAGAAGCTATGGACTTGGAGAATTCATCTTCACAGCCCTAACATGCTCTCTGAAGCGAATATATATATATATTATTGTGTGTTCATTAAGCAAAATAAATCAAACTAAGTTTCTATTTGAAACCAGGCAAACATCATGTATTCTATCTGAACAGTGGAGGAAACATACTTTTAACACAGGGGTTGGATGCAAACAATCTGCAGGATTTGTATACCAATACTTAAAGCATTGGGAACCAACACACTTTTTCCTTAGAACAAAGGAAATCAATGGAATGGGAGTATTGTGCATATTAGGCCATTAAACAAAGGAAAAAGAACAAACTGAGCCAATGGAAAAACAACAGTGGTGCCTCCCACACCCATTAGGAAACTTGCATGAGAAACAATCTAATGATTAGTATTTTAAAAGGCCTCCCTGTATCCCCATGTGTGGTTTTTCTGTACAAAGAACATCCTACGTAATTTGCACATTTTATTGGAAAATATAGTGGAGTGGCTGGAACGTACAGATAAGGATTCTAATTTTGCGAGCCAGTGCACTTTGAGAAGACTACTAATGCCTAATGTGATAAGTAATTGTAAACCTACACTGAAATAAATCTGATTTACATTTTCTTTCAGGTGAGGGGGGAGAATGGTTTATAGTGTTTGTATATTAATATGGATCCCAGTTTAATCATGCATTTGTTTTTTTATACATGTTATTTTCTGCTGTATATGCATACACACATATATATATGTGCATTTACATACACAGCCAGGAGCTGGAATACTAATTGGTTAAGAAGGGTAGACTGTCTTGCAACTTCAAAATATAATTCTTTGCAACCATGGTTTTGGCAAGATGGTTTTACGTCGGATGCCCTTCCTGACACAACCCTTTTAGTCGCCTCTTACGACAGGCAGGGATACCCAGGAGGTATTCTGACCCCCCTCCCGAGGGAGTACTTCAAAATATAATATCAATGAAAACACTGAAAGTGATCCATTGTAAACACACTAAACACCGGTCCAAACAGAAAGGTTTTGCTGTCAGATTAATAGGTTTTCTTGGAAATGGCAACTATGAACCTCATGTATGAAACAGATTTTTTAAATATGTACCCATGTTGATTGCATTTAAATGTTTTACCTGCACTAGATACAAGCTGGAATTCTGCATGCTATACAAAATCTTAAACTGAACCCCTATCCTGCTTTGTAGGAAATCTAAATGCAAAACAGTCCTTCGGGGCATCATTCATGCTTTTCTGATTAACAGACAAATGTTACACAATTAACATTCACATTTTTAAAATAAACAGAAAAGCAATGCTTTATTTTTTTGTTGTTGTTGCTGTTCACCATAGAAAAATCCAAAGTTTACCATGCAGCAGAAATGACAGCAATGAAGGGACCACAAATCTCCTCTTGACATTTAGGACTAAAGAGTGCAAGAAATATCTTATAAGGTTGAAAGATAATTTGGAAAGGTCAGGATTGTGACAGAAAACCATTTAGAAATAGTCTGCATTTAAAGCCAACAGAAGTTGGGATCATCACAGAACATATCGTAATTAAGCATCTTACGATATTGGCTATTTTTCACCAGTGACTCCAGTGAGATGTCAGTGCCAAGAGTGAACTCTCGATGCTCATAGAATGGAATGACTAAATCTCAAGAGGCAGGTTATTCTGGTTACTGTAAACCTTCAGAGGATACTCTGCCATGCCAAGTTTGAGCACAAATGTGCCTGTGGAAAAAAAGCACTGAGCCAAAGCACAGACCCCTTTCTGAATTTTAATCTGTCCGTTTGGTGAAGAAGAAGGAGCTTGACAAATTCCCAAGAGAGCAATTAAGAACCCCGAGTCTGAAGGAAAGCTTTTGCTCTGAATGTCACAACTAAATCAGGCCAGTGAAAGAACAACATGCAAACTGCTTTACAACAGGTTGGCTACCCCTTACCTAACCTTTAGCACTGGAAGGAAACAGTACACAGAAATCTTGTGTGTTTCTCATCTCTTCGCATTTTCAGGAAAACTAAAGTACTATTGTTGTGTTTTTCAAGCTGAAGGTTTTTTACTTTAAATTGCCAGTGCTACGCTTTGCATTTGATCTGATCCCTGCACAAGATATGGCAATATTTGCTCATGCAAATTTTCTATAAGGAAATCTAGAGCATATCATGTAATCACCTGTAATCAAACAATATTTAACACAATGCCCTTCGGTGTTTTATTGCACAACCAAACACAGAAAGCAGGTACATGTAGATTAAGCTATCTAAAAATATGCAGCAGTTCTGAGGTTGTGCAAGACTTGTGACACTACATAGCCCTCTCAGTGTGTCAAACTCTCAAGTTTTCGAACTTCCATTTTACCTTTGCACAGGGGTAGGCCTTGTCACTGTGGAGGTGCATAATGGAACCGCAAGCACGTAAGTGGGTTAGCAGTGGGTTGTCAGCCAACCGGAGTGGGGGAATTAGTGTGGAGTTTTGCAGAGTAGAACAGATGACCTCTGGCACCACAGAAAACTCTAGGGAACAGCCTCAGTCAATTGGGCTGCATTGGTAAACAGCAATGAAAGCTGTAGAGATGCTGTCATGGTGTCTGGGTGCAATAAAGCCCCCAGATTGACCTCACTGACCCACCATAATTGCAAGTTCTAGAGCTCAGATAATTCTTGCAGCATCTCGCCGATGTGCAATGAGAATGTGCTTTGGTCTCAGCTGAAGAGAGTCCATAGTGTGAACCTCACATACTGTCTTGCACTTCTGGTAAATTTTTGTAACTGTTAATTGTTAACTGAAGACTACCTTTTCACCACACATTTTATTCAGTTAAGACAGTTGATAAATTCAAGATTAGGAAGTGTCACATGTAATATAACAAAATGTTTTTAATGTAAAAGTATTATTATGATGATTCATGTTTTCTTTGAGGTTCGGTCTATTCAGCTCCTGCCACATCCTTCTGACACCCAGAGGTTTTTACAAAGCAGATATTTCCAGATACTTCAGATGTGGTGTGATTTCTGTTCTGGAGGGAGTGTATTCAGTTATTCTTAAAGGGCTAATTAATGAATTCTAATTAAGGGCCTTTTCCCATGTGTCTTGTTGAGCTGGGTCAGCAGGGGTGGAAAGGTCAAGCACATCCCCACTGCTGCAGGGTGAAGCAGGGCTGAAAATTTCAGCTCAGGCTGAGGTGTTTGGGGGGAAACTCTGTAAGGGTCTTGTGAAGTCCCTGCATGCCGAAAGAAATTGGATCAAAAGAAGCAGCATTCCAGCTCAAGCAGTCAAGGGTGAATTTCAGTGTGTATAAGATAATGGAGCATGCACATAATCTAATATGTCTCTTATATAACCTTGTTTTAAAAAGACAATAGTACTTTGCTTCTGTTCTCTAGCTTGTCTGGCTCTCTCTCTCCTTTTTGTTTATAGCGCTGAGCGGGCTCCCCTATGTGGCATTCTGCTTACAGCTAATTGGATTCTTGTTGTGCTTGATGCTAGCGCACAGGAAGCAGAAATGGCAGCTCAAGTTTAAACACTAAAATGTAAAAGCTGTGAGTCACAGACACCTGTTAAGTAAAAAGCTGGTTGAAACGGAAGAGGAAAGATGGGTGGGGGGAGATGATAGAAGGTTAGGTCATCCTTTTTTACTTTCTGTCAGCGTTGGCTCCCGCAGACTCAGTGCAGCCTAATGGCATTGCAACCTTTTCTCCTCGGCACATAAATAATTGCCATAGAATCTGCACTGAGAATTGGAAAGCACAGCAAATTACCTTCAGATTCTCTTCTCTCTTTGAAGTCCCTGGTTTGTTTGGAGCTTCTTTCACTTGTGTGTACTGTATGTGTGTGTCGGTGGGGGACGTGGGGGTGTATAGTTTCTGAGACGAGCACAAAGAAAAATTCCTCAAAGCAGAGGGAGACACCAGCTGTCTCTTGCAACGTGCATAAATCCTAAGGCTTGTTTTTTTATTTTCTGTGCAGTTCAGAAGAAGTGCTCAGTATTGCGTTCCTCCCTAACTTATCCTGAGGGCAGCCAGGCTGGAAGAGGCAAATGCAAATCTTCCTGTTGTAAGACTGAGACACAGACTCCCTGGGATTCGGAACAACTGGTAACCAATTTCCACCCACGTGATAACAAGACTCCTGTGTTATTTCCAGATGAAAGTAGCTACAGCTCTGATAATTCTCTTTTTGTGACATTTTAATGATATTAAGATGTTACTGTCCTGGGGTTTGCTGCTTCTTATTTTAAGAGTGTCTGACAAGAACCCCACAACCAGAAGG